TAGAATGTTTGAAAATTCCGTATCCAAAAAAGGATAAGTAAGCCATGGATTTTTTTAGAATACTTCGTTTTTTATCTGGTTTCTAGGCTTATTTTAGCCGAAAATCATGTCTTGGTGGATTCAAAATAAAACTCAAATTACTAGATTTGGTTAACATTACAAAACTTCTATCCAAAGGTTTTTTTTGTTCGGTACGGGTTTGGGGCTTTTCTACTGCTCTCCCCTCATTTTTAAGTTGTAGCCAACAATTTTTTGAAGCTATATCTTTAGATCCTGGTGTATATATTTCTCCGTTTATTGGGCAGACTCATCAAAAAAATTCCAACTCTTTGAACATGAAACATTTGCATCTGACTAGAAAAAAGCTAAATATTTAACTGCTCTCAGAGAAATTTCTGTCTACAATTATTTTGAAAGAAAAAACTAACAAAGAGGGCTGGCGTATATTTTTGTTTTTTTTTCTACACGATAAAAAAAACTCTTGACTTTGTGCGTAGGAAGAAACACCCGAAACAGCACAAAATGAGTAATGATCAAATCGTTTTCGAGTGGCGACTGGGACTTGAAAAAAGTACATGTGATCTTTAGTTTTGTTTTAAAAAGTACAAAGCTATTTAAGCTAATTAACTTTTAATTTTTAACCTTTTTTTAGTTGAGCCCAGTCAATTGAGGCAACTTTATAATAGTTTGGTTAAAACTTGCAACTGAAGAAACTGTCTTGAAATGTTCCAAGTTTCTTGAAAATACGTTTCTTTCCCGAGAAATCTAATCAATGAAAAACTTTATCACCAAAATTGAAATTAAACGCAACCACATACCTTCAGATTTTCTGCACTCTTGCTGCAACTAATAATTTTTTTTCAGATAAAACAAAACCAAACACTTAAATTTTTTTGGTTTTGATATTTTGAGCCATTTGAAGTTGATTTGATAGCGAAGAGCAAATATAAAGTGAAATAACGGGTGGAGCGACATCAAGTAAAATGAGTTAGTACGGTTTTTAAACAAGAGAGCTAAGTTTATGATATTTAAATAGAAATAGTTTTCTCCTTTTGAATGGCAAACTTTTTTAGTTGAGTTTGTCTTGGTAGCAAAAAAACAGCATCAAACGGATTTGCGCCAGAGTTATAGACTGGGTTATAACAAATTTATAGACTGGTACGCCAAACAGACTGCTCGTATAGGGCAAAGCGGTTTGTATGGAACTAATAAGACCACGCAGAACAAAAATGTAAGCTGTTGTATATGGCTACCCGCACCGAAGTTTCTCCGATTATTATCTATTATCTGGTGATTTTGTGGTCGAACAAAAAACTATTCTTTTAATAATCAATTATCTGGCGATTTTGTGGTCGCAGAGTAGAATAATCGATTATATGGAGAAAAAAATCCATTAAAAAACTTCATTTTTATGTCGATTATATTGGAATTATAATAGATTATAATAGATTTCCGCAGCGAGCGCCCATGGATCATAACCGATTATATTGTCATAATATGGTCCGCAATAAAATGACAAAATAATCGATTATAATCCATTAAAATTGGATTATAATCCTAATATTTTTTTGTCAATATAATCCATTATAATCGATTTTAATCGATTATAATGGATTTTTTCGAGGGGTTATTCATGAAATTTACAATTTATTCAAAGTTATCTTATTTCCCGTTTAGTGCATTTGATACGTATTACGTTTCATAAAATGTTACATTTCAGAACAAAAATTCTGTACTTTTTGGTCTCTGTTTTTAAATTCGTCGCAGTTTAATACTTCATTTTACTGTTTAACCAGCCCCCCCCCCCCAGTTTAACCAGCCCCCCCCCCCCAGTTTACGCCGCCCCTCTCACTATTTACCCTCGCCCAGTTTACTACTTTACCCCACCCCCCGGGGTTTATTTATCGATTATAATGGCAACATTTTCGGCAACATTTTCTCAATATAATCTATAATATACTTTACGGTTGCGAGAAAATAACAGTATTCAATTCAGAGCTCGAATTTCAGTATTCAATTCAAAGCTACGGAAAATATGACGACAGCTGGTAAGACCACCACCGTACTGTAGGTCGTAAAATTGTAGGCTATTTCTCAGAAATATAAATAAAGAACTGTAGGTCATAAAATTCTAGGCTATTTCTCAGAAATATAACGAATGTCGTCATGAGATTACAGGACCGTAACAACATGTCGATAAAACGGGTCTAGAAAACAATAGGCCGACGGCGATTCAGGCCGAAGGTGAAAGTTTTAAAGAGCATAAAAATGTTGCCAAAATATGACTTTAGAATTTACCCAGTTGACATCCCTCCAAATCGACCTAAATTTTGACTTCAAGTTTATATTTTTGCAGTTCGTCCAGAAATCAATTTTTCTGACAATTTAATCAAATTTTTTTGACAACATAATCGATTTTATTGCAATTTTATGCGATAGCAATAGTTTTTGTTGCGGTTTTATGGCAAAAACAATAGACTTTATTGCAATTTTATGGCAAAAACAATCAATTTTATTACGATTTCATGGCAATTTCAGGGCAAAAAAAATTATGTGGAGATAAAAATACATTTCAGTGGAATTACTAGGCAATATATTCTTAATGAAAATAATCTATTTTCTTTCTATTATAATAGAAAATGTTGCTTAAATTGGTTACACATAATCGATTATAATGGCAATATTTTCGGCATTATTTTCTCAATATAATCTATTTTTTTCCGAGAAACTTCGGTGCGGGTAGTAAAAATCTTCTATAAAATTTCAGAGGTTAAAAATTGTGGTTTGTTTCTTTTAACAGTTTTAAGCGCATGCTACCAAATAGAAAAAAAAATTTTTTTTTATTTCCGAAATTGGAAAGGCTAGTTCTAATAACTGAAAAGTTAATAAATAAATAGTTCTTTTAGTCAAATTAGCGAGTAATTGAAAAGTGTAAATAGGTTGTTCTTCTTTGTCTAATTTTTATAATAATTTTAAGGAAACAGGAAAAAAGGATGGCAGATTGTGCTTCAATCTGCTTCATCTGTTTATACAGAAATCAAAAAACGCATTGGTTAAGCAAAAAATACAGTATCAAACAAACTGAATTTTTTCTTTTGTTTGTCCACTTAGAAAATCAAAACTTCCATTCAAATTGTAACGCTTGATAAATTTTTGGCGTATTTTCAGATAAGGATCTGAGACATCGTATTTCACAAAAAAGTTTAGCAATTTGATTAATGAGAAAAGGTATTTAACTTTTTTAGTCAAAAATATGCATTGTTTTTATGACCACCCTAGTATAAATTACTTTACTTCGCAGAAAAGATTACCATAAAGCTTGTAAATTCTCAAAATTCGTGTTTGTCTCGCCAATAAATTTTGCGGAAAAAGTACCGTTAGTACATTCATGGCAGTTAGTTTTAAAACAGTTGGTTTTTAGAAAGAGTTTTCAATAATATACAGTGCTAAAACATATCTCGCTGCAGTTTTGAAACAATATATTGGTGCATCTGTCCATCTGCTGCAGATTTAATTGAATAGATAAGATCTTCTGCAGCGATCAATTTCATTTAAATAAAGGTTTAAGAAAAAAAACAAGAATACTCGTCGAGTAGTTTCCGAAATTTTGATCAAATTCGAGACTGGATTGAGACCTGCACTTTATTCCGCTTCAAACTTTTTAAATATATTTTATTAAGCTTTAAAACTATAAAATAGAAAATAATGACCAATTATGTTTCCTAATTGAGCAATGAAAATTTGTGTATTATCTGATCAGTTTACAGATCATATCACCATTAAATAAAAATTTTCAAAAAATTATCAGTTGTAAACCAGGAATTTAAGAGTACAATCAGCATCAGTGTCAAGCTGAAAAAGATAGCGTCACAAACAGGTGGTCCATTTTATCGGAAAATAATAAATGAGAAGGGAGTATTGTGCACAACTCATATAATGCACTCAACAAGGCTCAAAAACACCTCAAAACTCACTTCTAATGAAACACTTGTTATTTTCCTGTGCAAAATGGTGTGCTCCTGGTCTTATTCATTAAAACTGCCAAGATTGAATAAAGTGTGTCAAGCTTATATCCAAAGCTTTACATTTTTATCTTAAATGTACAGTTATAAAGTAGAAGTCGAAAACCGATTTTAGAAGCATCTTTGAATTCATGGTTTTGACTAATTTTTCCAAGCACAGTTCTTCTTTTGGCTGCAAAAAAGCCCATGTTTGAAGTTTTTCTTTGAAGACTGGATCTAATGCAAGTCTTTTTTTTAATCTACGTCGTACAAGTAATTTCCCTCTTTTTCAAAGAGCCAGTCCAGTTAGCCTAAGGGATTATTTTTAACAAATAACTGTAAGAATAACGAGGGAATGCTGCATGTCTGGTCGAAGCCACTCACCAAGTATCATAGCTCAATTTTTTTCTTAAAACTTGACTGTTTGACAACTTTATAATGATTTTATTGTATGCAACTTTTATTTTAAATTACTTTTTTTTACAAAAAGCAGTTTTGTTTTGCCTGGTGTCATCAGTTCTACGCCAAATAAAATTTTGAGCTACACTGAATCATAATCTAAATGTGTTGCTTAAAACCGATCATTTAGAAGAAAAAGAAAAAAACAATTTCGCGCACTCAATGCACGAGATATTTTAAATTAAAGATTATGCCTGGACAGAAAACAACATACAAAATCGGAAGTCAATTATCACAAAGGGTAAGAAAAATATTGTACAATGAAATCACGGTTGTTCACAGCCCAATTGAACTTATATAACTCTTACATTTCTTTTTTTTTAAATCTGGGATATGTTCTTGCGTATCGAATTTCCAAATGAACTTATTACAGTTCCATGTGATGAATAAAAACTGACTTCTGGCGTTTATTTCTTCAGATAAACAAATTTTGTTGACTTCTCGGCTTGTTCAATATTTTATGTTCCGTTGATCTCTCGACTTTTTCAATCTTTTAATTTTAATTTTGTTTGACCTTTGGAAGAATTGAGCTTTCAGGTCATTGAACTCTTTTATGCGCATACAATTTTGTTATCGCTAGTTGTGTAAGTTCCAGTGCAGCACTTTTTACATCTTTTCAGTCCTTTTGGGTACTCCTTTGACCTTTTGACCCCAGGGGGTTTGCAGAGGGCGTCCGGGTTCAAACAAGAGAAGACGGAGTCGGTCTTGAACACGAGTTGGTTTGATTTCAGTTCGGATTCACTCGTGGGAATTAGTTCAGGCACGAAATCCACTCGCAATTCCGATTGTGGCGACTGATCATTCGGCAATGCAGAAACCTGAAAAAAAAACAATAGTCGATTCAAAAATTCCTGTTATAGTATGCAGTAAACATTACCCCCTCCGAGTTGCAAAACGAGGGTAAGAAAAAAACGGGGAAAAATATGAGAGTCGATCATAAGCCAGTAATACAAGATAAAGTCATGAATTTACAATTTCTTTTTGTGAAAATAGCCAAAAGAAGCACTGATTGTTCCGACTTTCGAGAAACGTATATGCTTGGGATGGTTTTTTATTCAGAGTAATTTAGCTCATTTGTTTTTGTTTTATAAAGTCTATGAATAAAAGCCTTTTACTTAGAGGATTGGGGAGGATAATATACGCAGGGGCGGATCTAGGATTTTCTCGAGGGGTACGGGGGGGGGGGGGGCGGATTTTCAAAATGTTCGAAATTTTTTTCGACCTTTTTTTTTAGGTCGACCGATCCACCGAATCGATTTTCCGAGCTATACCACTGGAATAAAACTAAAAAGACCCTGTTTTGGTCAAATTTTCTGCGCCGCAGGCTAAATCTTGAAAACAGGCCAAAAACGCGTTTTTAGTCACTTTTTAGAAAATTTTGACCAACAAAATTGCGTTTTTTGGCGCGCGCTTCCCCCTCAAAGTAAGTATATATTGGCGCCAAAGGCGCCTTTTGAAAAATTTTAGGGTCCGTCACCAAATATGGATATCTCTAAAGAGTACAAAGGGGGGACCCTTTGGGTCGGCAGGGGGTCGAATACCTGAAAGAAGGAGCGTCCACCCCGCGCCCCCCTAATTCCGCCCCTGAATATTCGTATTCCAAATATATGCCAACACATGTTCAAATATTACAGCCAAAAACACTTCAGCCCATTTCAAAGCAAGAAATTTTAGCCAAGTCGTTTCAGAAAATTTTAATATTAGCGGGCCGAATTTTTCAACAAACTTACGCGCGCTTGAACTAGTTAGATGCCTGAAAAAGATTTACTGATTCAGTTCTCGCTACTATCTGTAAAAACTAGACGTGCAACTAAACCTTTCAAACCTACAAAAAGGCAGCTTGCATAATTTACCATGTAATTTTTTCTTCTCAAGTGAGCCTCTAAAAAATGAATGCAAAATTAACTAGTTTATCTAATTTGAGATGAGCCATTGTTTTATATACCCATTGAGCATAGTTGGATCTGAGATTTTTGGGTTATTTCAAAAGCCATTATAGCAAAGAGCCCTTATAGCAAAAATGCGATTCTTTTCAGAACCAATACATTGAACCAGCTCGAAGTGCTCGACGCGTGGCTTCAAAAATTGCTATGACTATTTGGAACTGTGCGAAAAATGATCTTCAAGATGAAATTTCACTCAACAAATTTTTGGAGAAATGGATTGGCATTTTCAACAAACTTGTTGCAGCGAAACGTCCATTTTTTCCGTAACTGATCTTCCGCTTCAAGGACGAGCAAAAAAACAGTTTTCGATTGCTGATTATTTTAATGACTACCACACATACAGTGCTGCAATTTCATGCAATACTTTTGGTTTTCAGTTTACTCAGATTGTCTTTTCTGATTTTGTTTTTCTGATGTTAACATTTACTGCTAGTCCAGAATCTAACTTCAATTAGTTTTGTTGAGAAAGGACATATCAATAGTTCAGTATCAAAAAAAAGGTGGTTGCAGTATTGAGAAAAGTGTTGCAGTATTGAGTTTTTTAAGCGCCAAATTAACTCTCGAGTAAGTAAAGTTGGTTTTTGTTCAATTCTCATACTCGCACCACGCACAAAAAACGACACTAACTTGAAAAAAAAACTTTTTTTTGTATTTTGTTGACTACGGTCGGACCATTCTGTGCTACTTGCACAGTAACAGGCTATCCTTGTTTTAGTTGTTTTCAACCAAAATGTAGTAGTTTTCAGCAAGAAGGACTGATAGACCCACAGATTAGGGCAAGTGTTCAAATGATTTTGAGGATCCCGCACCGAGCGCCCATGGATCATAATGGATTAGTTTGTCATAATATTTCCAGTGTCTATAAAATTATAAAACAATCGATTATATCCATTAAAAATGGATTATGATCCTTATATTTTTAATGCCAATATAATCCATTAAAATCGATTATAATCAAATATAATTGATCGTTTCGAGAAGTTATTTCAGAAATTTACAATTTTTTTTCAAATTTATCTCATTTCTTGTGTACTGCACTTACTACGTAATACGTTTCAAAAAAATTTACATTTCATATTAAAAGTTATATATTTTTATGTTTAATATAATCTTTTTTGTCCCCCAGTTTATTTTACTCTCTTTACTCTCCCCCTCGGCTTACTCCCCCCTCCCCACCAGTTTTTTTTAATATCCCCTCCCCCATTGTTTACTCTTTTACACCCCCAGTTTACTTTTACCCACCCCCCAGTTTAGTCCCCCCATTACTTTTACCCCCACCCCTCCCTGCCCAGTTTATTTTACAACACCCCCAGTTTACTTTCACCCCTACCCCTAGTCTACTTTTATCCCAGCACCCCCCCCCCCCTTTATTGGTAGACTTTGGGGGAGGATGTTAATGATTGACATCCCCAGTTTACCGCCCCCCGCCCCTCTTTAGTTGGGGGGAGATAAAATTTTTTTTGAGGGAGTGACGTTGAGCCATGGATTTAGTTAAACACATTGCATATATTTGACAAAATTCCTGCAAAAATAAACTAATTTAGTTCCAATTACAAAATGGATTATAATCAGTTATAATGGATTACAATGGATTTTTAAATCAAAAATAATCGATTATGATGGATTTTTTTGGCAAAAATAATCAATTTCAGTGCTAAACATAATCAATTATAATCGATTATAATGGCAATTAAATCAATTTCGTGGTCTGAATCTAACATCTGTTAAGGACAATGGAATATTATGGATCAGGGGCGGATCTAGGGTTTTCTCGGGGGGGGGGGGCGGATTTTCAAAAGTTTTTTTTCGACTAAATTGGTTGTCTGATGGATCAGGGGCGGATCTAGGGTTTTCTCGGGGTGGGGGGGGGCGGATTTTCAAAAGTTTTTTTTCGACTAAATTGGTTGTCTGATGGATCAGGGGCGGATCTAGGGTTTTCTCGGGAGTGGGGGGGGGCGGATTTTCAAAAGTTTTTTTTCGACTAAATTGGTTGTCTGATGGATCAGGGGCGGATCTAGGGTTTTCTCGGGGTGGGGGGGGGGGGGCGGATTTTCAAAAGTTTTTTTTCGACTAAATTGGTTGTCTGATGGATCAGGGGCGGATCTAGGGTTTTCTCGGGGGAAGGGGGGGGGGTGGATTATCAAAAGTTTTTTTTTCGACCAAATTGGGCGCTCCACTCTTAAAATGAGTATATATTGGCGCCCTTAGAAATAATTTTAGAATCTGTCAGCCAAAGTTGGATATCTGAAAATAGTTCAAAGGGAAGACACTTTGGGTCGTTAAGGGGTCGAATCCCTGATTATTTTTGTCTCTCGGGAATCCATTATAATCGATAAAAATCCGTGGGCGCTCTGTGCGGGATCCTTTTCTGTGATGCTTAATTAAAAACTCAAACTGGCAATTCAATCTGAGCACGATTCAGTTTTGTCTACTCCTGGATAGATGCACTTCTTCTGAATAGAAAAAAGCTGATAAAACCTATTTCAAACGCTTTTTAAACGCTATTCGCAACTAACAGGGGCCACAATGCGATATCACGCCAAGCGCCCTACAAGCCTTTTTTCAACCTAGGTCGTAGTTCCTTCCCAACTTCATAAATTGTCCGATCAGAAATGAAAACGTAACCTGAAATACCTGAAACAGAATAGCTATCTCACATCCAAGTATCTGGTAAGTTTATACACTATTTTACAATATAACTATGTTTTATTCTCACATTTTAGTATTACTTAGTAATTGTTATACTGGCTGTTTTTTTTTCACAATATAACTATGTTTTATTCTTACATTTTACTTTTACTTTAATAATATTACATAGTTATTACATAGTTATTAGATAGTAATTACATGGGTATTACATGGGTATTACCTGTACAGCTCTGTGGTAGAGACTCCTCAAGTGGAGTGCTGTTTGGGAGAGGGATCTAATTGGAGTCCAGCAGACGGTGGTGACACAGGAGCCACTGGGACCCACGCAGCGACACCGCTTCTCACTCCCCCCACCCCCACTCTTCAGTGCCTGCAACAAAGATAAAGACATCACGAGGCCAAACATTGCACTGGATAGGACCACAATTTTGTGTCTGTATGTTTCTGGATTCCAGAGACAGTTTGTGGAATCCAAAACAGCACAGAAGATCAAAGAAAAGTAGCAATGTTGCGGATTCCGCGACAAATCTGATTTTGGCCTGTTGCGGAATCCGCTTACAATGCACAGAATGCACAGTTTGGACTCATAATGGACGTCAAAGACAGTAGAAAAAGAAGAAATTTTTCAAGGAAAATCGGAACAACGGTAGAAAGAAGAATACTTTCTAAAGAAAAAATTGCACAGCAGTGAAAAGTGATGTTAATGAAAAATGAACAAAACATAATGAATCAGCAATAAAAAAATTAGCCATTCGGACCAAACATTGCGCAAAAAAAGAAAGCAACCACCAAAAAGTACAAAAATAGTAATTTAAAAAAAAATTAAATCAAAATAAGAAACTAAACTTTAAAAAAAACTATCTACAACAACTCACATAAGTCATAATCTGCTCTTCATAATTTTTCAGCTATTAAAACTATAACAAACAAACTTAAGTTCACTTACCATTCGACCGGCTTTGAAATTGTGCAGTGTGATTGACTTAGCCAGCGGGTCCTCACTTGACAATGACTCCAGAGGTCTCTCGAACATCTGCCGGGCAAATCTCTGGGCTACTTTGAAACTATCCTCGCAATCTTCAGGTGCTGTTGATTTCAGGAACTGAGAGGGAATCCGACTGATTGAAATTATGTCATTTCTCTCCGCATCATTGGAACCTCCAGAAGTTCTGTCGACGTCGGAATCCGGACGCATGGCGTTGCAACCACATGATTTGATGTCTCCGTTGGTGCATTTCTCGTGAACAAGTGATGCGACGGCAGCCACTTGCATTGCCTCGATGAATGCGGATTCCCTAGTTTCTGAAATTATAGGAATTCTTTCTCGGAGCTATAAAGAATAAAATCATAAGCCACTGAAAAAATAATTAATCAAACTTGCAGCAGTCATTTTGTAGAAAAATTATCAGCCCTGGAAGTCTTTGCTGCGAGCGTATGAGAAAAATTTTGGAGGTAACTGAGCCAAACTTAGGAGAAAACAAGGACAGCCGGTTGCAGTGCAAGTAGCGCAGATTGTTACAACCGTATTCATTGAAAAACTTTTTTTTCTACTTTTCTTCAAATTTGTTTCGTTTTTAGTGGGCGGTGTGATTCAAGAATTATACGATCGCGTAAAAAATTAGTGAATTAAGCATGGTTGACATATTTGTCATCAAAAACTGAAATACAAACAAAAAAAAATAAAATTTTAATTTTTTTTTGCACCCTTATTTTAAAATTTTAGAACTTTTTTGCCAAACAAGCGCTAAATGAAACATCCAAAAAGTTGAAAGTAAAATCATTTTTTTAATCCTGAACGTATAAAAATATAGCGTATAACGAAATTATAAAACGAGCGTGTTCATTTTTTTCATAAAACCAGCGTTACTCGATAGCGTTACTCGCTCGAAATTATACTTAGCTCAAAAATTTTAAACCAGTTTTTATCGACACTGGGACAAATTCTTGATAATTTATTATTGTCATTCAGATCACGACTGAAAAGGTTCAATGTGATATATCACTGGACCCATTACAATGATTATTTGTGGTACCTGATTTTGCGTGGAAAAAAACTAAAACACGCCCGAATACAAAGTTCTTCGTAAATTTCAATGATGAGAACAACAAATGGAAACAACTAGGAGCTGAAAAGTTTGATTTCATCAAGGAACAAATGGAAACAACTAGGTGCTGAAAAGTTTGATTTCATCAAGGAATTTATGTGATTTGATGAAATATAAATGTGCCGTATTTATATAGGTTTCAATAAAGATTTAAATTGATTTTCAACAACCAACCTAAGTTCGACTCCAGCTGAGTGCGCACTGTCTCTTGGTCTGAAAAATCGAAGTCAGGACAACTCCAGAACTCACTCCGGAACTTCTCGCGACACTCTTGTCTAGCCAGGGAAGATGCCTTAACTATCTGAAGAGAAAACAAAAGAAATGGTAAGCAAGCAAAAACACAGAATTTTTCAACCGTCTCATGGCTTTGTGATATATTGGCTTATTATAGCTTTTTATAGATTGGCTTATGTGCTGAAAAACAATTAAACGACTAATGTTATTCTTGATCAGGGGGGGGGGGGGTGGGGGAATTAATAAGCGGCGCAGAAAATATTCCTGACATTAGATCTTATTAGTGATGTGAGAGAGCTAGGAGTTTTCCAGTTTCCCGTTTCGAGGTTGTGGTTTTATGATCAGACAGTCGCGACCAAATTTTGATATTTTCCAATTGGAAGACAAAACTTTCAATAAATTTTGAAAACTTCGATTCCATATCTGATTCCGCGTTTCCTTCAACCCCACAAAAAAAAATCCAGATCTTCAAACGTCCCAAAATAATGACAAAATATCATTTTAAACCTTTTCTTAACCTGCAAAAATCTGTTTTTTTTGGCCAGTCTATCTTTAACGCGGAGGAAAATTTTTTTTAAATGAGCTGTTCAGTTCTCTACGCATAACAGCGGTTGAGGGTAAAAAAATAAATGCAACCAGTTTTTAAAAATGTTTCCCTGCTGGGTAAATTTGCTACGCCGACAGTCAACAAGCGTGGATCACGATGGGTTTCGAACCTCCAACCTTTCGCCTGAGAGACCGAGAGTTAAGTAACTCATCATTGCTTCACCGAGCACTTTGCTATTTTTTAAGTATTTGGAGTTCTCACCAAGGAAGAGTTGATTCCATATTTGTTCAGCAGTTTCTGTTCGTAGTGTGTGGGTTCAAAAGGCGAGAAACCGAAGGGCGAGTTGGAGCTTTCTGGTTGCCTGGAAATTAACCTGAAAACATCAAAAACAAAATAAGATTCAAAAATCAATTTAAAATATTGAATTTTTTTGAGAGCTGAATATCTAGTTGACTGCACAATTTTCCGATGATTTTATTTGACCCTTTTATTTTTTTACGAGATCGAATGCCATGTAAACAAAGAATTCAACTACATTTTTGTCTATCTTTTTCATCATTCTGTTGAACTATATTTTAAAACAAAGTTAAATACCAAAAAACTTTTTAAATATTACCGAACACACTTGTTAACGCAATATAACTGATAACAGTTGATAATTTTTTCAGTGTCCTCAAAAATTAAAATAAAAAGACAGAAATTATAACCAAAAGCAAAGCAGAATGCTACAATTTCCTTCCTAGTTTAGGGAAACTTCCTTCTTTTTTTACAAAAAAATTTATTCGAGCTGACTTACCACCAAATATGGAGAATATGATGCAGGCTTGAGAAAGAAATCATGTCGGAAAAAGTTTCTAATAGTCTGTCAGAAATAAGACGCAGTTTTTTAAATAAAAGACTCAATCAAATTGAAACACTTTTTTTGTAATTAATTACAGGTACTAAAACTCATAAAACCACAAAAACACCAGAACAGACTTGAGTAAGTGTTAAGAAATTTTTGAAGTGATAAAGGTGAGTTCTTTGAACTACGAATTAAGATTAGATAGTAATCAAGAAATAATCAAACAAAGGTGTTTATAATGGCTACAAATGCCTTGTTGAATACAAAGAAAGGTGTCCAATTTAGACCGAAAGTGTCAAATTTCTCAATTTGAAAGTATCAAAAATTCAATAAAAGTTGGCGACTTGAAGTCTACTTATTAACAAAGTCTACGTTTTTCCGTCAGTAAAATTCGAAATAAAAAAATTTAGCGTTGTTTATTGACAGGTTTAAAATCTGTAATCGGTTTGTTCACTTCAAACGATCGATTTAGAAAATTATGCCTCAAAGACGAAAAGATTGACTTGAAATGTAGTTGCAAACATAATAATTATCCGATAGTTGGTGTATTTTAATCGCGAGGGGGAGTTAAGTTGTTTATATTTTAATTGGATAATGATTGGAAGCTAATTACAGGATACCTATCAAAGTGTTTTTTGAAGCAAATGACCTATCTGTCTTTGATGTAGTTTGATACATAGCACACTTGTCGTCCTAATATACAATTAAATGGAAAGTTTTCCCAAGGTGTCATCAAAAATAAAATCAGAAGTCAGAAATTATCATAAGAACAGATCTGTATTTTGACGTTTTCTCCATAATTTCAGCAAAAAGAGCATGTTTTTTTGTTGCACAATAATTTGGGATTCAACTAAAGCTCAGAAAATAAAATTGTTCAACTTTTCAAAAAGATTGACAACAGTTTTTTTTCCAGCTTATTTGATCTGTCTAAAAGATTTTCAAAGGATCCTCCGAAGTTCTGAGCCGTAATATTTTCAAAATTCTGAGCGTCAGTTTGTGTCGAAAAACATTAAGTAAGCTTGATTGGCTTGGGGGTTGATCAGTTCGTGTGATGGGGATAGGTTCACTCCTGTAATGCATTTCATTGAGAACAAAGATGGCTTTTAAAGTTCGAATCTTGTTAGTGAGTCCCCCCCTACTCCTTGAGGAACTTTTTAACGAATCCCCCCTCCCTTCCCCCCCTGTAATTATATTCCTGTCCTCCTGCAAAAGGATTGAGGTAATTAACAATATCCCAAAACTCAACCTTCTTGCGTTTCAGGTAATGACTTTTGTATTTAAGATCGTTTCGTGCTAAACAATATGTATTTATAGGTAAACAACTTTAGAAGAAACAGTTGCTCTGGCAAAATTTGCAAAACTGCTTCAACCGTTTTCCTACAAATGTCATTTACGGTTACCATGGAATCAGCAGGAAAGCCCAATTTCTGAAAATAATGCCCGAATAGCACGTGGAACCATAGAACAATTGACAGATATGAAAGATCCATACGATTTGCATCGGTTGCTACCAGATGGAATGATATAAGACCAGGGGCGGATTGATAGAGAGTTGGGCTCTTTTTCCTTCCCCCCACCTACAATTTTTACTAGTAAAGTTAATGTTCACATTGTCCGATCATTATGAAAACTGACATGCGGAATAATTAAGCTGTGCCAAACATATTTGGTCGTCATAATTAACCTTGTAAAGCCACTCGTTACACCATAAAATTGATGGTCGTGGGAGGTGGGGGGAGGGGGAGGGAAAAAAGCCGAGAGTTGCAAGGAGAAGGGGGTTATCGGACAATTTTTTCCTTCCGCTCAGCTACCACCCAAATATTCGTCTTTTTATTACTATATATTATAGCATCAATTCTTGGCCGACCGGCCCCTGAATTTTCAAAACGCACATTTCGCACAAAAATATGCTGATGTTCATGAAGAACGGCGCAACGTTCAAAAAGTACGAAAAAGTTTTATTTGGCAAATTTTTTAAAAGTAAATAAAATCAAACTAGGTACTGAGGGCGACAAAAAATCAAAAAAAAAATTAAGATTTATCACATCTCATTAAGATGAAAAAACGAGGCTCAAAAAAGTTAGGATTTTATAGAAAAAACAACTTAAAAGAAGACTTTTCTTTGGTACGTAAACAACCATAACGAGTTGTTTTCAGACCTATAATTAGAAAAACAAAAACTAAATTTTGAACAGTTTACAACCTACTCTCGTGCTTGAGAGAACAAAATTGACCAAATGGTCAGTTTTCAAATGTCTCCAATGAATACTTCACAACTGAATCAAGACAAGACCCTGCAATTTAAGATCTTTTCAGAAGCGAATGAGAGATTTTACTATAGCTGAAAAATGCCGTTTTCACCAGTCACATCGAAAATCTTCGATACGGCGGAAGATCTTTAGGCCACGGCAGAAGATCCTCGATACGGCGGAAAATTTTAAGTCACGGAGGAAGATATTCGATACGGCGGAAGATTTTAGGTCACGGAGGAAGACATTCGATGCCGCAAAAGATCTTTAGGTCACGGCGAAAGATCTTTATGTCACGGCGGAAGATCTTTAGGTCACGGCGAAAGATCTTTATGTAACGGCCAAAGATCTTTAGGTCGCGGCGAAAGATCTTTATGTCACGGTGGAAGATCTTTAGGTCACGGCGGAAGATCTTTATGTCACGGTGGAAGATCTTTAGGTCACGGAGGAAGATCTTTAGGTCACGGAGGAAGACATTCGATGCCGCGAAAGATCTTTAGGTCACGGCGGAAGATCTTTAGGTCACGGCGAAAGATCTTTATGTCACGGCGGAAGATCTTTAGGTCACGGCGAAAGATCTTTATGTCACGGCCAAAGATCTTTAGGTCACGGCGAAAGATCTTTATGTCACAGTGGAAGATCTTTAAGTCACGGCGGAAGATCTTTAGGTCACGGCGAAAGATCTTTAGGTCACGGCGGAAGATTTTTAGGTCACGGCGAAAGATCTTTATGTCACGGCTGAAGATCTTCAGAACACAGGTCAATTTTGAACAGTTTACAACCTACTCTCGAGCTTGAGAGAACAAAAATGACCAAGTGGTCCGTTTTCATTCGTCAGTAGTAGAGGAGTGAGGGAGAGTGGGGGGGGGGGGTGGTGGGAGACCCCCATGTATTAAGATAGGGAATAGAACATCCGGTCTCCCATCTATGTATTAAGATTGGGTATAGAGTCTACAATGTATTAAGGTAGGGAATAGGTTTCCCATCTATTAGGATGGTAGGTTTCAGATGGTAAGTTTCAGAAAAATTTTTGGCGCCCGATCTTACCATGTTTTAAGATAGTGTTTAGATTTCCTATGTATTAAGATAGTGTATAGGTATCCCTATGTATAAGGATTAGAAATTCCTTGTATTAACATAGGGAATAGATTTCCCAATGTATTAAGATAGGGAATGGTAAGGTTTCAGTGTGATGGTAAGAAAATAGTAAGAAAAACGGTATTTTTTGGATTTTGTGTGGAAATGTCTAGTTTTTTCGCAAAAATCTCGGCATGCGTTATGTAATTCTAGAGTGTTACATGTAGAATGTGCAATGAAGAGAATATGTTTATTGGTTCATGGTAAGATGTGCAAAAATTTGGAAATGCTTATAAAAAAATTGATATTTTTTCAAAAAACTTCAAAACACGATATGATTTGATATAATTTGACTGAATAACTATTTTATTAGATGATCCTTTTTTTGAAACTGTACTCAATCGAGCTTAAACTATGCTGAAACCTAGTGAAACCTTAAAAAATTTTCAAGTTTTTGGAAAACATTGCAAAAATTTCAAGTTTTTGGAGAAAACTGCCAAAATTTCAAAGTTTTTGGAAAAATTTCAAGTTCTGAAAAAATTGCAAAAATTTCAAATTTTTTGGAACAAACTGCAAATTTTTGGAAAGAACTGCAAAAATATCAAGATTTTGGCTAGTTTTTTGTTGCTTCTGATCTAATTGAATAAAAAGTAAATACGTTTAGAGTTTAAAATTAAGTTCAAATTGTATTTCAATTGGCATCATGTTGAGACACTGATACAAAAACTTTGAATAGACATATGGAATTTTCAAAATTTTTCTCACAAAAAAATAAACTACAATAAATTTAAGCATTATTTGAGTAACAAAGCGGGTTATATAATGCTCTCAACATTAACAAGAAAGCTCATAAAAGCTGAATCGAAATTGAAACTTGTGGAAGATAGTGAAAATAACCGTAATTTTTAAGAAAGTAAAATAAAAATTATTCAAATTTATCAAAAATTTTCCATTTACAACCTTTTAATTGGATATTTAACTAATTTTTTGTCCAATTCAGGGAGAATTGAAATAGGGTTCTCAAAACAAATGAGCATTAAGAGCAATATTCCATAAAATTTCTAGATTTTTGCTCAATGATTAACCCAAATTTGTGCAAAAATTACAAATTCAGAGAAGTTATTCACCTTAATAGTACAGAATTTCAGATCAATGATGAAAAATGAACAGTTAATAGCTAAAATTGACTAAAAACGAGATAAATTTTTCTTAAAATTCTATTCGATATTTGCTCAAATTCAACAAAATCTTCTTCATAAGTGATGATTATCTCACTGTTGCTTCTGTAACATAATTTCACAATTTTTCGTATAAATGTTCTATTCTTAAAGGTTATTTTTACTTTCTGCTTAATACATGATTCCGCTATTTAACACTTTGCAATGAAATTTAGTCAGAACTGGAGAAGTTAGGGGGGAAATAGTATCAATCGAACGAACAATTTGCTAGCAGAGATGAAAATAGAACTGATACCGTCTGATTATTTTGATAAAAATTTTAAATGTCTGCCGCAAGTTTCCCTTGTTAGGTGCTACAGTAAACTATTTAAGCAAAAATACAACTTTTGGGATAAATATCTATCACTTTTCTGGAAAAATAGTCAATTTTTTATGATTTTCTGTTGAAATGCTCCATGCCTTAAAATTATTCCTGCTTTCTGCTTAATGCATGTTTTCGC